TAAACATAGAAAAACCTTAGCAGTAAAGATGGTTTTTAGCGGCTTTCCTGGGAAGGGTGTCCTGGGAGGTTTTTACCCTGTGGTTGGTTGTTCGAGCAGCAGTGAGGAAGGATGTGGTAGAGCTGATTCTGTTTGAGGGAAGGGAGACTGATTAGGTGTCTTCTGAGGACCCATTTTTAGCCCCTCAACTGGTATAGTTAAGAGCACAAATTCACATTTTATGTGTATGTAGTACATTTTGAATTAAAGATTTTTTACTTGTTTGTATCCACATACTGTGGAAGAAAATATGGGACCAAACACTTGCAGGAGGAAGTGAGCTCTAGGCCTGTGCCTCAAACCTTCCCCAAAGCTAGCAAACTATAGAGATCTTCAGTTTTGGAAGGATTTAGGCCTGGACAATCAGCTGTTTATGACTATGGACAAGAGCATAGTTCCTCTGAGTACACTCCATTACAATACTCCATCCCTTGGGTGGGTCTCATTCATATAGCAATATGTGAGGGTCAAATAGACTAAAATGAATATCAGTCTCTTATTTATCAAAGTCATATAAGTCAAGATGTTTTTCTGAATAATTTTATTATCTGATAACCCATTTATGGGCTATTCCAAGTAAAGAGCTTTCAGCAGTGCTGGGAGAATGCTGGTAATGCCTGTGGTGCTGGTGCTGCAAAGCTGGGTGCATGAGAGCCTGAGGCAGGAGAGCAGCTGCTGGGTGGGAGCCAGAGCCCTGTTTGCTGGATGCCAACAGGACACAAACCCTCAATTGCAGAACTGGCAGAGGCCAAGGATCAGGCCTAAACAAGCCTGACTTGCATTTCTCATCATAGCTGGGGGGCACTCTGGCTGAAAAAAAAATGAACTGTCAAGGTGAGGCAACTCCAGAAGTTGCAATTATGTTGTGAAAAGCAGGGGCAAACCAACTGTGCTCAGTGTGCCCCTGGGGGCAGGGGAAACTGTCACTTGCATGAAATGGTGTTGCTTCTGGGCTTCTACTGGAGACATTTTCAGAAAGGAGATTTCTGTATGTTCCCAGAGTGATTTGGAAGAGAATTTTCTTCTTTCTTTGAAGAGAGTTATTCTGATTGGTCTTCCTGGGGCAAGTATTCAGTGTGCTGTATTCCTCCCAAAGGAAACCGAAGTGCTCTAAGAGATGACCCACAGCACTGAACTGCAATCTGGCAGCTGAGCAGGGCATGTAAATATAACCAAGGTGGGTAATGGGCACAGCGCTGTGGGAACTTGAGTATTTCAAGAATGACAGAATCACAAAATATTCCAAATTGGAAGGGATACACAAGGATCATTGAATCCAACTCTGAAATGAATAGTCTGGAGTCCTGGAAATGCAAGGTTTCCTCTTTTCATGTCTACAAACTGGGAGAATATATCAGTGGAGAAGGAAGGCAGAAGGTGCAAAAGCCATTCTACAGAGAAAGGAAGATTATTCCCATTGTTATGAAGAGTTGCACTACATCTGTTTTGAGGAATTATTCAGGTGTCAGAAATCTAATTCACGGAATTAGAAAAAATACACAACAAAAAGGATTATCTAGTTCAACCATCGTGGCATAAGAACATGTACAGATCCAAAATGTCTGTCAGATATTTATCAAACCTGTTCCTGAAACTTCCAGTCGTGAAGATCTCACAACCTCCCCAGGCAAAATTTCAGGTCTTCCCTGAAACCCCCTTTCTCCAGGCTAAGCAACCCCAGCTCCCTCAGCTGCTCTTCATAAGACCTGTGCTCTGGACCCTTCACCAGCTCTATTGCCCTTCTCTGGACACACTCCAGCACCTCCATGTCTTCCTCATAGTGCAGGCCCCAGAACTGAGCACAGTATTTGTGGTGTGACCTCATCAGTGCCAAGTACAGGGCAATTAAAAATTTATCAAGGCCTGTCTAAAAGCCCTCTGAAGTCAGCAGAAATATGCTGGGGCCTGAAGAACAGACCCTGAGTCAAAGCTGACTTACAGATGGATCTTTCAACCTAATATTTTATTTAGCCTAGTACTGTATTTAGCCATACATCTGCTTATTTACCAAGATGTTGGATTAGCCTTACTAATGCTTTAAGGGTACACATTTATGCTTGTTAGCACAGGATATTATTAATAATTAGTAAGGCTTCTATATGTTTTATAAATATGACTTTCTTTTCAGCCAGGGCCATGAGAGCAGTAGACCTCACATGGCCACAGCTGGTTCATCTTTGAGATATAAATGGATCCGTAGTTCTGTATTTAGAGACTAGTCAAAGCCATGAGGGCATTTGACAGTAGTTTATCCAAATTGACTCCTAATTTTCCTCTGGGTCCTGGCCAGCCTTCAGGGGAAAACCAAGGAGAGAAGAAGCCAAATTTTTTTTCCACACCAATTGAGTGATGTAAGCTGGTTTGTCTAACACTATGTAAGCTGCACCTTCTCACAGCAAAATGGAGGCTTCATCCTACGAGTGGATGCACCACAGAGGATTTCCCAGTTACTGGGAAGAGGTTCTCCAGACCTTTGCTGCGATAGGGGCCTCCCCAGCTCAAATGTATTCTGGATGATGGTAATGTGTTACTTAGGGTAACTGGTGATGTATCTCTGTCTTAATCACTGTAAGACTTTCTCTGTAGTAATGATTAGATGCATTGCTAAGTGTATCCTTTCATAAGCCACTGCTTCTTTTGCAATTCTTTACTGTTTTTGCACTATAGTAAACTTACACATTTATTCTTTAAAGTTGGTGTCTATGTGTCTTCAATCCATCGTCGTTCCCAGGGCAAAACAATGTTCAACGGACAGAATTTACTGAATCAGTGGTTGGAAGTATCTCTGTGAATAACTGACAAGTCTTCTGTTCAACACTTAAAGAAAACACCCACTCCAAGCCAGTGCAGCAGAGCTGTGTGATGTTCCCTAGCAAAAGTGTAGAATGAGCAAGCTTGTACAAATCTCTCTTTTTCCAAGCTGGAAACCTAACGAAATAATTTATAATTTTACACTTGACATTCAAATACTTTTTTTTTTCATTACTCCACAGCTCTATATCTGTTTTTTTCCAAATAAGGAACATTATTTTCAACTTACCTCTCACTTATTTGTTTTATCCATATTTATTTTCCTTTTCAAGGGAGTCAGTTCTTCTCCTTCTGATTTTCCTAATTTTGATGAAATCTGTGCTGATTTCTCACAAAATTTGTAGAGTGTTTTGCTCCGAAGAGATGCCTCTATTTTTATTTGTGTTTCTCAGTATCTTACAGTGATAATACTACATTTGGCTTTTTCCCCCTCACTCTTTCTCATTCTGTTTTTGCTCTGTATTTCACCCTTGCATGCAGTCTTTTCTACATAGAGTATTGCTTTGGGAAAATAAAACTTTCAAGCCTATTAACATTACATAAGTTCAAATCAATAAACTTTAAAACTGTTGTATTGAGGTAGGAAGGAAAAGGGGAAACAGAAAGAAAATCAAAGCATATTTGAATAAAAGAAATTTCCTTGTAAGCTAGTACTGTGATATAAGCAAGCTTGTGGTCAAACATCGCCTGACAATGTATTGTGAGCGTGTATTGGTACCTTTGCTTGTGGTTTAACATCACCCACTTTTTAAAAAACTATCATCTACTGCACCCTTCTGGACATTACCAGGACAGCACATTCTCCAGAAAACCACGCAGAATATCAGGTAGGCATAGTTTTCATGAGCAAAGTTGTGATTTCATTTATTGCTGACAGAAAATCTCTGATTTCAATTTTTTGATTTTCTAAGATTTAAATTAAATCCAAAAGAAAAGACTTTCCATGCTATTTACTGTCAGATCTAGAGTAGTTTCAGATTTCTGCATCTATAATCTATGGCATTTGCTACCTGAGGACAGAGCAAGTAATGCTTTTGGTGACAGAAAAAGAAAGACTTGGCTCAGTGCAGCTCATCATGTCCTCCTGCATCTTGGTGACATCACATCTCTTCTATATTAATTTGGGAAATCCTCAGGTCCTGCATGCCCTGCTCAGTCCCAAATGGTCCGCTAGTCCTTCTTCTTCTCATTCACATCCCCTTAGTATCTCTGTGAGGTACTCCTGCCTTCCATTAGGAGAGCCTGTCTCTTCCCTAGCCAGGTGTACAATGTGGATGTTTCCAGGATTCACCCATGTGTATTCTGACATGCTGGTTTCAGGGTACAGACCTGCTGACTGGCCAAGCAGAAATTAGTGATGTTTGCTCCCACCATTAAGTGTTCTTATGGAAAGCAAATTTTGGGTTCTTTTCTCTGTCCAAGCACTGATTTTCTGAAACCTGAAGGCACTGTGGCTGGGAATGCAAGGGTTACCTTAGCTAAGTCCCCTGGGGCCAGCAGAGGTGGTGTTGCTGAAATGCACGGGGCATCTTCCATATACCCTGAGGTCTGGGCAGACCCAAGATATCAGTGGCTTTGCCTGGAAAGCAAAGGCACATCATAAACTGAGAAAAGTCAATGCTGCCTCCTAACTCATGAAGAACAAAAACTAAACCAGAAATGGGAAAAGGCTGAGGGAAGTAATCTTTCGTCCAGAAACGGCATTGGAGGATGTTAAAAACAATTCTGATACAGAGTTAGCATTATCAGGGTCTTTTTTTTTTTTTTTTTTTTTTTTTTTGAGGAATGGCTTACACAAAAGCATAAATCAGATGCAGTTCCAACCTAAGCAGTGCAGGTCTGTGACTGAAAATACTATTGGGACCTAATGCTGAATATCCAGGACTATGTAGAACTAGACTGTGACTGAGTCTTCATACTTTCCACCACTATGATCCCCATGTTTACCCTAGCAAAGTGAGGCCAAGCAATCTGAGAACAAAGCATGTCCCACAAAACAGGAAAGTGCCTTCACATTTCCCAGCATCCAGTAGAAATGATTGAATCTGATTTGGTAATCCATCCAATTCAAGGTTGTTTGAATGGCCACACCATGGCAAGGGGGGAACAGCATGGGAGAATGATTAACTTAATCCTCCTGCCTTGTTTGTTTGATGCTGCCTCACTCCAGTGCAAGTCAATAAAACTTTGTGCACTGACACACACAACTTCCAGCACCCGCCAGCGGGGCCAAAATGGGAATTAGCAAAGCTGCCTTTCTCTTCCTGTTCTTGCTCAGCTCAGGTAAGAGTCCTTTGCCTTCTCCTTGCCTAGGTGGGACTGGTACTTAAACACTTGTGAGTTCCATGTGGGGAAGGTAGGTCCCCAAATCCCTGTGTCACAACTTCCCTGGATGATGAGAGATTCAAGGCTTGCTGGCCAGCAAAAGCTGCTGCTCAATAAAAAAAGAGCTGTGGTTGTTCCAGGGTTATACTTGTTAGAGACACCAGGAGAGCAGCGGCCTTGGTGTCTCCTTTGGGAACCAATGGCTCCTTGCAAAACTACCCCATGGTCAGAGATGGGGGCACCTTTGAGAAGTAGTTTGTCAAAGGCTTCTACATCACCCATAGCAGTCACTGAGAAGGTTATCTCTAATTTCAGCAGACTTTGGATCAAATGCTAAAGCACAGTGATTGTGGTTTTCGCCCTTTATGACAGGTGTTCTAAAGCTTTGAAATGAAATATTAAAAAATAAATAAATAAAAAAATCCAAACAACAAAAAGAAATATTACCAATTTCCTTTATATTCCAGAAACTTCAAATTTTTCAAACACTTCTAATAAAATGTTCTCCCTTGTTTTGCTGAAGGCAGTAATTAGGAACTTACTCTTTAGTAACCTAGATCACCTTTTCTAAAAATATGTCTAGAATTCTTTTTTAGAACTCCAAGAGAAGATAGGTGTCCTACTAATAGTAATATATGAATTTCAAGCTTATCTACAAATGCTGTAAATTATTATTCCACACTTAGTTTACATTTTAATCAGATTTTAATCAGATATCATACTCTCTAGTACTTTAAAGTTGCATATAATTGTATGACATTCAAGTGATTTTCAAAAAGTACTGTAAAATACATATCAGTATAGTTTGCATGAGTTTCTAATAGCTCAGACATTTAGGATCAGAATAACAGGAACATATCATTGTGTGATTGTGCTGGGTTGTAAAAGACAGCTGATTAAGTGGGTTTTTTATTTGCTCATTGTTATCAGCTTTAGCTGACTTGCTCCAAAGTGATAGTACATGACTGCCTTAAAACATAAAAAAAAATTTTATGTCTTCTGGATCAGTACTGCTCAGGTCTGGAAAGATACGCAGATAAAAGAGGAAATAGGTTTGTTCACATATATTTGAATATTCTGTTCGATTATCATGTGCCGTGTCTGGGTTTATAAAGGTTTGGACTTTAGCAGACTAATACATTCTCAGATGCATTTTGAAGTCTACTGCAGTCTTTCCTTAATTTTTCATTTTGCAGTGTTTTTCAGGCAACTAACACCACCTTTTCACCTTTTCTGTTATCTAAGCTTCTGCCAATCTGAATTGCCTTTTAGCTTATGCATCTCATACAAAATCTCATGTATTCATTCTTAAACCAGCTGTAATAATTTTTTTTATGGTCATTGAAAAGGAATAATATACAAAGTAGAGCTCTTTGGACAAATGCAGTTTCAAGATTAATTAAGTTTGGAAAGTAGTATTTTCCTGTTCTAGTCCCTTGCAATTCTGGAGCGTTGGCCTTAGTTAAGTCACAAAAAATTCAGGAGAGAAGCACTTGTTTACTAAATCCATCAAGAGAAATTAGTAGGCTAGGCTATTGGTGCTCCACATAGTCCAGCTGTAACAGTAGGATTAGATCTGGGAGGCCTCAGTGTCAGGGATTTCTTAAGACACGTGGTTTTTATAGCATTGAGCCAACTCTGCAAACAGGAACAGATGATGCCCTCAGGCAATAATCATCTTACTTTCATTAGTGGTCCAAATACCTTTTATCTCATATGAATATGTGTCTTATGGAGGTAGATGATGGATGACCTCTATGTCATGGGAATTAATTACACTGGAGTGATACTGCAGTGAACTGAGCCTAATATGAGTGCAAAAATGAAAGATTCACAACATTACCTGTGAGAATACTGTACAAAATTATGAACTTCTTGTATTTGTCAATAATAATCTAGCTTGAAAAAACCGAAATAATTGAATCATATCACTTATGTAACCTTGTAGCCTGATGCTGGAGATGCAAATAAACCCTGATAGAAATTAGGAAGAGAACATAAAATATTTATAGACGTAGAAGGGAAAAATCGGTTAGATGGCAAAATCCATTGTGAGCAGCAATGTTTTAGAGCTGTGTTAAATGTATTAGCAGATACCTCATATACATCTTAGGCACATGCAACTTTCAGATATAATAATACTAATCATTTACTAATTTAAAATCTTGGGTTAATTTGTTGCAATAGAGATGCAACCTGACAATTTCATTAGTAAGTCTGCTCAACCCATTACAATAAAATAACGGTGGCCATTGCAAAATGCTATTTAGTAATTTTATGACTGTGGTTTCTTGGTCTAGGGCAAGACATCTTGGGACAAACAACTAGTCAGTGGCCAATAAAACTGCAGTGATTACACAATTCACATGACATGTCATAATAATGTCATAATGTCTCACACCCATCTAATTCATGCTTTTTCAAAACTTTGATATTGGTATCACTTCCTCTTTCTCTGAGTGGTGTGGACCACTTAGTCTCTCTCTCTCTGTTCCCCCTCAATCTTACTTCACATTTCTCATTCTTAGCTTCAAACTCGTGCATAACTCAGTTTAGAACTTCTCCTCTACATGTTTTTGCTGCTGTTTTTTTTCCCTATGGCATGTTACAGTCATACAGCTGTGATTGTGTTGGGAGCCAGAAATTACATCAGAGTTTGTAATCTTTTACCTAGAATTACACAGCATAGTGTCTTCACCTGTCCAAGCTACATGGAAAATGGGACTCAAATTCACAGATCTTCTTAACTGCAGAATTTTCATTTTTAATGTCTGATTCCTTTCCTTCCCTTGTAGTGAAAGGAGATATACTGGATGACTACCTAAGAACAGATGGTGTTTGGATACTAACTCGAAATAAACAGTCTTACAACACAAATAACGAAGAAGAATGTGCAGAGAAATGTGAAGCAGAAAGAAATTTTAATTGCAGGTAATTCCTGTTGAATCTTAAAACTGTGTTATTGTGCATGTCTGCATATCAGTGGTATTTTCCTACAGTTGCTTAGAACCAACATCCCCATTCTGCTGCAGCTCTGCCTACAGCAGTGTGTCCCATGCCTGTACCTTTATGTTTTGGCTTATCTCCGTAAGATCAAGAGTGGATTTACAACATATTTCTCATTCTATAGTAAATGTTCAAGTTCTTACTCTTCTCTGTTACGTGGAGACCTGCTTGTACCTCTTTTGCTGGATGCTGGCTTGTTTCACAAAAGAAGAATGAAATGTTTCTAATCCATTGTAAGGAGAGAAATTAACCTGAGCAGCTAGGATGCAACTGATAACGTTCTGCCAATGCAATAACTAGCTTCCCATGCAATAACTTATTCACATATATAGCCTTATGTCCTGCATAAATGAGCCACTTCAGAACAACAGAACACATCAGACTCTTACTCAGTGTCTCAAGTATTGAGTGCAGATATAAAAAGATATAAATGGATACAGGACAGTGCTATTACATTAAAAATCTATAGACCAATAATTATTGATTGAATAATTTGTATTGAATTTAAAATATTGCTTCCTATGTCAATATTGCTTCCTTCTCAATTTCAACAGGGCTTTCCTATTCACCAGGAAAAAGCTACAGTGTTTAACACTGGCTGAAAATGCTAAAACGTCGGTGATGTTCGCCAGCACGGACACAGTTCTTTATGAAAAGAGAAGTATGTATGCAGTAAGATGCTACTCCTTATCTATTTTAACTTCATCCTTGTGCTCTCTGCTGCAGTGCTGGAGCAAACTGCTGCAGGTGGTGACAGTTTCAGTGAGGTGGGTCATGCAAATTTTCATCCCCTCCAAAGCTATTCTATGGAAGACAGGCCTGGTGTCTCCAGCCTCAGCGTTCATCCCAGTGACCTTCCTCAACACATGTAATCGAGAAATTTAGTCAGAACCTTCAACTTTGCTGCTTATAGCCCCATTAGAGCCACCTCTTCCTGCAGAAAAAACAAAGTCCTAGCTTGGCAGCCACTCATGCATCAGGATGGATTTGTCTTGTTTACTTTTTAGCCTTAGCTGAAACTGTAGGGTGAGGTACAGGTCTGACCCCCTCTCTCCCAATCCTCTCAGAAGAAGACCTTTTCCTTTCTGGTCATATCCAGGACTAAAGGAAGTGTCACCATATGAGTCCACTGCAGGAGGAGACACTATATCTTATTCCTCACACCAAGGGACCAGCTCATCAGCCTGTTGGTGCCTATTATGGCAGGGGTACAAAAGTGTACAGTCATCTTCCTTCTCTTTTTTGCTATCAGGAATACAAGACTATGTCATTCCTTCTGAAACTCACAGCTACAGCTGCCAGCATCCTTGTGAGGTCTCTTGATAATCCAAATGGCAGCATTTTGTATCTGTAATAGCCACAATCCACCTCAAACCAGAGATACTTCTCAGAAGGCTGACACTCACCTTCCTAGAAACAACCAACCACAGCGTCACTCAGCCTGAACTTGAATTTGTAAATAAAGACATTTAGTTTTCTTGAACATCAGTAAAGTTTTCTGTCCCCACCACAACTCCTCAGCACTAGGAAACAGCTACTGTAAAACTCCTCTCTCTCAGATATGATGGAATTTGGTCTGCTGGGAAAAAGCAATCTCCAGGACAATTCTTTGGCTCTGCCACTCCCTTAGGTTCATGATGACTGTACAATCTCACCTATACCTTACTCAGAACCTGGAATTCATAACAGCTGCTTTGGCATCAATCTTCGCTACAATTTATTTTCCTTGTAATTAGATTAATACTTGTGCAAAACATCTACTTTAAAACAAAAAGTTTCATCCATTTGTGAGTGTAACAGTTCATCTTTTTATACTATGCCACCCAATCTTAGGCACTTCCATTTTACCCCACCAAAAACGCTTTGGGATCTGTATGTAGACCATACTCTGGATTGTCCATAGTTACAAAGGCAGCTCCATAAATATATTCTGGCAGTTACGGTTTGACTTTCCATACGTTAATGGCAAAACCTCCTTGCTAACAACTGGAATAATTCATAAGGTAGACTAATTCATTATATTATATTGAGTCAGATTTCTCACTCCCACCTTCAAAAGTGCGTTTTTCTTTGGTTCCAATTGGTCTCTGAGAGTTTAAGAACCACAGCATTTTTACTAGCTGAGTGGTCACCCAGGATGCTTAACCTCCTTATAGGGGTAATAATCAAAGCTTTGGCACTTACTCACCGAGACATTTCTGAAGAACTCAGTTACAGACATCTCCTTCTTTGCAGAGCATTTTCCCCAGTCATGCCTTAATTTTGTCTTGAGATATAGTTTGGCTTTTGATCTCATCCATCTTTAGAGGAACGCAATCAGGAGTTATAGGCGAGCAATGCAAACTCCTGTACAGGACAGAAAACTAATAGAGAATTTGGAGGTCAAACAGAAAGAAGCCGTGTTACTAAAAATGCTGTTAAAGATGGATCAAATGCTGAGGCCTAAATCCATGTTGGTCTCAATGTGCCATTTGGACTGGAAAGCTACTTGGTTGTTCTTCCTTCTTTCTGATTCTTTATTATTTAGACAAGCTAAAATAATCTAGGAGGAATCTGGCAACATCAGAAGGTCCATGGGGGGCAAGGCTATTGACCAGAGATGGACATGCTGGGACTTGGGTATCAGTGTTGAAGTAGCAATGACTAGACTTTTGGTCCCTTCAGTAGTACCCTGAGAAACCAGGTAGAAGCTCCCTTTTGGTAAGACACATAGCACAGACTGCAAGGTGTTCAAACAAGGCTCAGTTTTTCCTCTCAGATTGGTACCTTATTCTTGTGCTAACATTTCCATTTTATATTTTGGGGTTTAGGGGAATTCTTCTTGTGCAAGCAAATTGCTGGAAGGGGAAAGCAAGATCACTGCCCTCAATAACTTGAGATTTTTCAAGTGTCTGTTGCCATTAAAGCATCATGAACATGATTTGCATTCTCTCTGTCTTGGAATCCCACCAGAAAGGACCTGGGAGTCTGAGGCTAAGAGGAGTCAAAGGTTTGGGGTCATTTATGTGACAAGTGTATTTTGATAACTAAATATTTTCTGTCTTGAAGGGATAGTTGCATGATAGCTGCATGAAAAGATAGTGGCACATTGCAAATGTGCTGGTGAACCATGTCTTTCAAAGAAAGTACAAGAGATTCAAAACATCGGTAAAGCATGACTCATCCTGAACTGATGAACTTCAGTTATATCTGCAGACTTCCAAGTTCAAGACCTGCAATGATGTAGCACCATTCAATTAACAAAACCAATTTCATTTCAGTTTACCTTCTAGAATGTAAAAGAGGGATTGGGAAGGACTACAGAGGAAGAGAAGCCAAGACTTGGAGGGGTATTCCATGCCAGATGTGGGCAGAAAAAATACCCCACAAACCAAAGTATGCCCTTATTTATATTTTTTTTTATGTTGTTCTCACCCTCTTCCAAGTTTCCCCAACTTCATGTGTATAAACAGCCTTATAGTGCAAGTTATCAAAGCCAGTTATTGGGTGACTTTTCAAGACAGTGTTCTATTCCTCTTCATCTGTTTTGCTGCTTTTGACTCTACTGGCAGAGAACTGCAATGATCTGGATAAGGAAAGGATGCATTGTCCGCTACAGAAATTGCCTCTAAATGTGAGATGTCTTAACAGATTAAACGCTCCTATCATCCATGAAGAAAATTTTGCTATTGGTGACAGGGGGATCATAATTGCACTGTTCTGTATGAAGTGCAGGGAAAAAAAGCACAGATACCTGTCCAGCTCTATGATCCCCTGCCTTCCCTACAGACAGTCAAGAGAAAACATTAAGAAAAGCATCCAAGGGCCAAATGTGCCTAGCCAGATAGAGTTTTCTCAGTGCTGGCTATCCCTGTGTTCACTGAAGCAAGAAGGGAAGCAGAGGTCCCGTTTCCGCTCATCTATGTTGGAGTTTTATTAAAAAATTGGTTTTTGTTGTTATCCTAATGAAACTTGGTTACACTTGTTCAGATTGTTTAAAAGCCATTTAGTCTTCTGTGGAAGGTTACTGTAGGAAGAAGCCTAGTGTCACCTGCTTCAGATCTCTTCATGATCTAGTGCTTGGTGAAAAGTCTCTAGAAATACACAACTTTTGAAGTAGTTCCATTAAGACAAATGTGTGACAGAGCCACAGGTCATAGTGAGGAGATTAGATCAGACAGATGCAAGTATTAAAGGCAACAATTGTCCTTTGAGACTGTTACAGTCCTTGCAGGCTGTAAGATCACTCTTTATTGGCAATTGGGACTTAGGGAGAAAGCTACTAATAATGATAGTTATGGAATGTTTTTTCAGTTTTCATTTGTGGCTTACAGTGGGGAATCTGTTTTGCTCATTTTTACTGTGAATGAATAAAGCTCACAGATACCTCAGCAAATTGGACATTTCCCTTCTGCTCCGCTAAATTACTGGGTTTAAAATAGGATTTTAATACTATTACAGCTATACACCTCAAAAACACCCTAATGCAGGGCTGGAGGAAAACTATTGCAGAAATCCTGATGGGGATGAACATGGACCCTGGTGTTACACAACAGATCCTGCTACCAGATATGATTACTGTAACATCCCAGACTGTGAGGACCAGATCACACACACTGGAGAAGGTATATTTACTTTTCAGAATGAATTTAAGTGCTTAGTTTAGGTAGGTAATATTATTCCTGCTACTCGTTTGCACTTGATTATTGCAGATTGTTTTCAAATGAGAACTTAAATCAAACTGAACTTAAGAATTTCTCAACACAGATTTTTTTTCCTAATTATCTTGAGTTATCAAAGTAATTTCATAAATATGGAAGAACTGAAACTTTTTAATCATTTGCTGGTGTTGTTCTGCTCTTACCCCAGAAATTTATTTTATTTTAGAGAGAGCAAATATTGATCCAAGTGCTATGTTATATACTGAACTCCCATTGCTACCAGTACACACAGATCCATGACAAATTTCTCCCTCCAAATGACACATATTCCTAAAGCATTATGAATTTGGCTAGACTTCTGAATTCTTTTCATCACTAGTTTGAGCAAACCCCTCTTTTCCTTTCAGCATATTCTTCCAGGAATAGATCAGGATCTGAATTCATGGGCTGGTGCATTCCTTGCTTTTTTTTCATTCTGCCTAGGAACTACAGTGGAATGCATGCAGTGTAATGGTGAGGACTACCATGGAGAAGTGTCAAGAACCGAGTCTGGGCTTCCGTGCCAACACTGGGATGCCCAAGAGCCTCATATGCATGGATTTACCCTGAAACAGTGAGTCACACTCAGCACTGAATTCATTCTTACAGAGCCTGGGAGACAGAGCCTAGTTGCTTCATCTGGCCATAGCTGATTCACAAGCTTCTCTTTCATTTTCAATGGCAGCTATCCAGAAAAGGATCTGAAGATGAATTATTGCCGTAATCCTGATGGTGAACTTCGGCCCTGGTGTTTCACTACCAGCCCGACTAAACGCTGGGAATATTGCAAAATTCCTCGTTGCAGTGAGTCTGATTTCCTGAGACCACTCCAGAGGGTAGCTCTTCTCATTAAAATTATGCAGGGAGGGGAAAGACAAGAAATCTCAGTTCTAAGTAATCTGAGGATACCTTTGTGAAGGAAGGAAAGTGCACAGTAATACACAGAATCGCTCACTAAATTTCAGTTATGTAAAATTATGTATGATCAGTGAGGACGTAGGTGTCATGAAGTGCAATAATGCCAAAGAAGTTTTGGGAAAGGAGAATTTGCCTTTGACCACTTTACTTTTTGACTTACCTGAGAATTTAAACTTACCTAAGAGATTGGGCATTCAGGTTAAATCAGGTGGTAGTTTTCTGGTGATCAGTTAACTAATGAAAAACATCTAAATCACCATGTGACCATACTGTGATATTTTACCTGAGTCTGGCCAGCACAGACAGCACTGCCTTTTCCTTAGCAAGGGGTGAATCCTGAGAAACAAGTTCAGGCCTCAAGTAGAAACCTGACTTATCAGTGAGTGAGCGTAATCCATTGAGCTGAGCACACTACATCTGGAAATTTCCAAAGCACTGAATAAGGAGAGTAGCGTTGCTATTTGTAGAACTGGATGGCACTTTTAGGGGAAAAAAAAAAAAAAAGCGTGTTTTTATCTCTAGAGCTTGCTTTCTTATTCATCTGTACTTGCTAGTGCTCTAAGCAGTGGCACATGTTTGCTGGATATAGTTCTCTTCAGCATGGTCCGTTACAGATGGCAGAACAACTATTTATAAACGTCTCTATGATAAACTGTGAAAGTTACCATAGCATTTAAATTCTGTGCTTAAAACTTGAAGTTTAAGGAACATGCCAACCTTTTAGTCATACTCATCTCCTTGGGAAATTCTGTATACAAAGTAAATGTAATAGATATGTCCTGTAAATTCATTTTTGCCCTGTTTGCCCTCTGCAGGTTCTATGCCTCTGATCATCACTCTTCCTTTCTTTGCTGTTCCCCACATGCCAGATCACTTCACTTTCTTTCACTTTTCCTTCTGCCACACTTTCCCAAGTCACTGACTCCAGAGGCTCAGCTCTGAAGGCTGCTTTGCTTTCTCTCAAAATTTCTTCTTGGCCCTTTCTGCCCTTCCACCCTACCTGTGTATATTATATTCATTTCACTTGGTTTTACAAGACTGTTCAGGACTACTTACTGCCTTTCCTGTTCTGCTCTCAGGGGACTGCAGGCACAAAGTCTGTCTTGACCCAACAAAGTTATTTATTGACTGCTGTAAAAGGGCAAACACAGGACATCTATCTGGCTGTCCAACTGCTCATAAAAATGTACTCTGGTTTTGACATGACTTTTAACCAAGATCACCTCTACTGAAAGAAAAAAATTACGTATTTGACATTATGGAAAACAAAGGGGTTTTATATATTTTGAAAGACTATTTACCAGCATTTCATTTCCCTTTCCTTCCCTTGCCCTCTCTTGCCTTGCCTTGCCTTACCTTGCCTTGCCTTGCCTTGCCTTGCCTTGCCTTGCCTTGCCTGCCTTGCCTTACCTTGCCTTGCCTTGCCTTGATTTGTGTTTTCTTTTTCTGTTACAGCCACACGCCCACCAGTTTCTGACCCAGGCTCCCAGTGCCTTTCCGGGAAAGGAGAAGACTATCGAGGGAGGATAGCCATCACTGAATCAGGAAATACTTGTCAACACTGGAACACACAGTTTCCTCACAAACATGGGTGGATTTCTGACAGATATCCCTGCAAGTATGCTGAACCTCATCGTTGTAACAAATACTGAAGAACATACTTATTCCTTATTGACTCAGATGCAGAAGCAAGAGGAACACAGGTGTTCCTCATTTATGCTGATAAGCTATATTCCTCCTGTTTGTCAGTGCTCATTACTTCTGTTCAGGTCTTGCTCTCCATTTTTTTCTGCATCCCTCTTTATTCTCATACATTTATCTCACATTTCTTATCCACATCCCACTGCAAAGTTATAAGTAGTTACTACTGAAAATCCTTTGGCTGTGTTTTGGCACATTTTCAAGGCATTACTCTTCTGAAGAGTGATGCTCCAAGGTCAACATGCTCCAATACATCCTTGTACTCCAAGGTCAGAGGAGCTGGATTTTCAGAGAATTATCAATGTGCAAGGGTAGCTGGGACTGACCTGGCTTCTTACTCTGTATTTTGATCCTACAAGTTTTCTTGGGCATATGAAACCCTGTCCGCTATCATAGGACAGTGAGCAGCATGCACCGGTGCTCCTACACATTTCCAGGATCAGTCTGTCACATCCAGCCTTGCCTGATTCTTACTGTAACATCAGGTACACCAATGGCTTGTGTTTTGAAGTCAGCTTTTACTGCTATATCTTGGCCTCAACAACATGAGTAGAATGTGAAAGCATTGAGAAAGTTTTTCAGATATCATCAGCATTTAGACTGTGAATTCAAAGACCATTGATTAGTCTCAAAACAGTGATGCATGAGGTAATTAATCTCCAAAAAGAATAAATAACCTCTGAGTTGACTTCTGCAAGCAGTGGTTGTCAATACTCATGCACAAAACTCTTCTGGATTTCTATGAGTAGTTTAAAACCAGTGTTTTTGTTTCAGGGGCTTAGAGGAAAACTACTGTAGAAACCCTGATGGAGAGAAGAGGCCATGGTGCTACACCATCAACCGCAGCGTTAGATGGGAATATTGCACAATTCCTCCCTGTGATGGGAGAGAACAAGAGATTGCTGGTATGAATAGTGGAGCGTACTTGAAATAAGGACTTTAAAACAGTGAGAGGTTTATTGTTTCTCACTGTAAATGTATTAAATATTTTTTTCAGTCACTTTGTCACTGTTGTTAATGCTTGTCTGCCTGTCATGTTGCAAAACCTGACAAATATTGAATTTTCAGAGGTTAAGAAAATACAATGAAGGATGTAGAGAACCAGCTGACCCAACAGAAGAATTACTGGATAAAAGAGGTTTATGTTTTTGTATTCTTTTCCTCCCCAAGGGTAGGGCAGTTATAGCAAGTTCATTGAAAAATTAAAATCAGGTTCAAAGACATGAAAAACTGCTAAATAAAAGGAACTCCCATTTTTGAAAAGTAGCCACAAAAGAGAGGACAGGAGCTTCCAAAGTCTTATTTCCAAGTAAAAATCACATTGAAACATTTATTCATTTAAGGACTAAAAATAACAAGAAAGTCTTAGTGCAATCAAAAGGATAATAGATTGAAATTTAATATAATGTCTGTTTGAGAAATTTATCATGCTCACAATCACCAGCATCTCATCTTTGAGGATTTTTTATGTGAACTTTCTTATCTTTAATTCTAACATGTTGACATACAGCAAAATGAAACCAGATGGTGAAGCTTTCACTGAACATCATCTAACATGCAATGCAAAACTGTTAAAGTTTTCTAAGCATCTTTGGAAATGCCCTTCTGCTGCTGGCTGTGATGATCTCACTGGATGCTGTGTGTATAAACGGGTCATTCCTTTTTGTCATCCTTTGATGCTTTCTTGTGCTTACTCGGTAAGAACATAAAACTCCGATGCAAAAGACCAGTTTCTGTTGTTCGCTGCAGATGTGCCCATACAGGTTCCCCTGACAGAGGAGTGCTACCGAGGCAAAGGCCAGAGTTATCGTGGCACAACTTCTATCACTGCATCGGGAAAAAAATGCCAGGCCTGGAACTCCATGTTCCCACACTGGCATGAAAAAACCCCGGACAAATTCCCAGATGCGTATGTTTATCTCACCTTTTCTCTCTTTCTCTGACAATAACTACTGCTTGGTTTGCGTTATCTTTGCACATCTGTGCTTTAAAACATTGCTAGGGAATTTATCTGTAAAAGAGATTTTTTTTTTTCTAAGACATAGAAACATTTTCTGTTAGTCTCATTTTTAAAAACTGTGTTTTCTAGTTATCTAAATTCTGAGCAAAATATAGCTGTGTCCCTTTACTCTTAAATCTGAGCTTCTGTAACCAACAGCAGGAGACTTGTATCCAGAATCTGGGCATCTGCTGAAATATGTGTTTGGCTTATGAATTTGAGACTTTTGTGGTGGCCTTTCTAAGTATTTATTCTTGGTAGAACACAGCATTTATGATGCAGAACACACTGTCAGATGTGTTATGCTTTGAAATACCATCAACGTGTTCCTTGTAGTTGGAATTGTGCACCCTGAATTGCATACTGAATTTTCCCCCTTAATTTGTCCTCTTCTGGCTGACAAAACTGGACTATCAATGACTGGATCAATGATTAGCTAACTACAATCACTAATGTGCCAGTTTTTAGTAAGGGTAGGTAAGCAATAAGATTTCAATTACGAGAAAATCCATCCATTTTTATACCTTTTTTATGCTATCACCCAAAATAATTTGAATTTTTCAGTTATATTTAGGCATTAAAATGCTGATGTATCAAAACTGGAACATCCTCAGAGGAGACGCTGTCTTTCAAAAACATTTAAAAAAATTAAAATCAAACTGTGAAAATGTGAAATTCATGTGTTTTGTCATATTTGGAAAAAAAACCATTTAAGTTCTTTTTTATTCTGTAACTGTATTGTGACTCAGGATGGGGAAATATTGAAACTCTGCAAATTACTGAAGAGAGAAATTCTAATTCTCCCTTCCCCACAAAGCACAGACTTGCATGTGCTTATACATATATATTTAGAAATTAAATTATTGGCATATTGTGCATTTATTTAGGTACTCAACACATTGAAATGGTACATCCATAATATCAGCCAGTAGCTGAATTATGTTTCCTTATGCATAAAAGTATTCATGACTCTGATGTACATGTGAAATAAAACACTTCACCAGCATCACAGCCATAAATTTTTTTGCTATTAATAGAACACCTGCAATAAGTGAAAACAATAATAAATGTATTTATCCTTGTAATACAGATCCACAACTTTTTGTCAAGATATTCCTATGCTTACTCCCAGTCTTATGCAGCATGACTATTGATTTTATTTTTGCAGGGATTTGAGGGACAACTATTGTAGAAATCCAGATGGTGACAACAGCCCATGGTGTTTCACCACTGACCCCAACACTTTATGGGAGTACTGCAATCTCAAGAGGTGTGATGATCATACACAGGAGCAGACACCAAATGATTCCCCCGCAGTGATGGCACAAGATATTAGCCCGACGACACCCACCACATTTGGTAACAGCTGGCTATAAGTTTCACCTCCTGTAGAGTCTGTGGGTAAAGGAAGTAATAATCTATCAAAATAATTCTTCAGTGTCGTGGTTTAACCACAGCTAGAAACTGAGTACCATGCAGCTGCTCACTCATTCCCCTATCCCTTCCTTGGTGGGGAGAAAAATAAAAAAAAAAGGAAAACTCAAGGGTTGAGATAAGAACAGTTTAATAATTAAAACAGAATAACAATAAAAATAACAATAAATATTGGAGAGGAATAAACCCCAAGAAACCCAAGTGATGCACCATACAATTGCTGACCAATGCCCATCCCAGCCCTGAGCAGTAATTAGTGGCTTCCACTAGTTTATGTACTAAATGTTGTTTTATGGTATGGAAGATCCTGTGATCAGTCTGGGTCAGCTGTCCTGTCCATGCTCCCTCCCAACTTCTTGTACAGCTTCTCACTGGCAGAAAATGGGAAACTGAAAAGTCTTTGACTTCGGGTAAGCACTACTTAGCAAGAACCAAATGTTATCAACATTATTTTCATACTAAATCTATAACACAGCACTGTACCAGCCACTAAGAAGAAAATTAACTCTACTCAAGCTGAGACAAGGACATTGACTGGGGCTGCAATGTAATAGTTACATCCCTTCTGCAGCTTTCAGATCTGTACTGCTGCATTTTGCAGCAAGTTCTCTTTAGTCAGTTAATGTCCTGTAACCTATGTCATTCTAGTGCATTCTGAAGGACATCTTTTTCATCCAGGGGAATAAGAGGACAATAGACAACACTTCCAGTATTTCTGCAGCTCTGTGCTATTGAAATATGGTCACAGTGAAAGTTGTTGCTATAGGAATTCTGCTTGTCCTGTGCTTTGTTTTCCGGAGGGTGACCTTAGCTGCTTGCATTGCTCACAGGCAGTCACTTTTTGCAAAATGCATGCACTGAGAAAAATGACTTTTTGCTCTGTCCTGCTTTGTTCCGTCTCGAATTAGCAGGCCATAATGGTCACAGTGGTATGGCATTTCTGGAGATATAGTAGAACTTTCCACCAATTATTTACTCTGCAAGGAAAGATGGCAGTGTTGCATAAAGATACATTCGTAAATGGAGATGTATACTCTTACTCACATGCAGACGGAACTACCTGGAGCAATGTCCTTGGAAGCAAAAGTTGCTCTTTCAGTCTAGTGGGCTGCTGAAATATGCTTCTTTCATGGAAGTGCCTTAAGTTCCTTGATTTCTTTCTAATTCAGTTACTCTGTATGTTCGGGAAGACATCCATCTTGACAAAGAGATCACATCACAGGGCACATTTTTATCTTACTTTCTGCTGTAGACACTAGACAGTGTGCAAGTCCTAAAGGTACTTAATCTGGCTGGCTTATGCTAACCACCAATACATAGACATTCAGCACCTAACAATAATTTCCTTTTCCTCTTTTTTTCACAGACTGCATTAATGGTAATGGTAAAGATTATTGTGGCACAGTAGCAAAAATTGGAAGGGGCAGGACTCCTATCAACCAATATGCAGAGTCAGAGCCAAGGGAAGGTTAAAAAAAAATGGCTTATGCCTTTCATTTTTCATGAGATTGCACAGCAGAACTGCTTTAAAATTCTCCATTGTAGTCTTTTTTATTCTGTAGCTTTTTCTGAGCACGACTGTGGAAAAGTCCCAATGAGGAATGAGCGAGCCTGTGAGAAATACAGCATGTGCAACGCATCTCCAGGGTCTTGGCCCTGGCACATCAGCCTCAGGACAAGGTACGTGTATTCCAGACTGCATCACCATTCATGAACACCAGGGTTTCACAGGAAAAGATGTTAGAAAGAGACTGACAGTAAACAATAATTTTTTTCCCTTTTTAATCACAATGTCCACTTATTGGCTCATTAAACCCAAACTCCCCACTTTCTCCTGAATCTCTAGAGGGCAAACTTGAACTGCAGAGGTAAAGTACACCTCTATTTACTGAAATGAGGAAGAAGTTCCCACTGAGGATAGTGACAGTTAATGGCAATCTGCAGTGGGGGATTTAAGCCCAAAACAACCTGCAACGTGCATGAATGGATTTTGATCAATCCTTTTCACCCAGCATCCAGTCTGGTTCAAATGTAAATAGATGCTCTGACCACTCTAGTTGTGTAAGAAGCTATAGGAAGATGATGTATAAAAATACAATTATGCCTAGCATTTCCACACAATAAGAGTGGCTGAACAGGAGATGAAAAAGGGTTTACAGAAAGACTAATGAAAATTTCTATGGAATTGTTGACAGTGACAAGAAAAATATTATCCCAAGAGGACTTAAAACTCCATAGTAGGGTTTTTTTTAAAGAACTACTCCAAAGCAACTCCACAAATCAGAAGGATTTATCCTTTTATTAATTGCTCCCCAGGACAAACCTATTATATCACACATGAAATGTAATTATTTTTATTAAATTCCTGAAAGCAAGAGTACCCTGTTGCAAAAATTTCACTTCGGTATCAAATTTCTTCTCATGTCTCATGTTCTGGAGCAAAGGAAGCTTGTCCCTTGAAAATCTTCAGTCCCTTGAAAATTTCTCTTGCCATTCACGAAAGGCAAACTATGACAGGTAAAAGGTTTGAATAAGGCGTATATTGCAATTTTGCTAATATTTCCCATTGTGCACAACATAGATGAGACTGAGAATTGACTATGCAGTCTTAAATGAATATTATTTTTTTCTCTATTCTAGTACCAACATGCACCATTGTGCTGGCACTCTAATACATCCACAGTGGGTCCTTACTGCAGCTCAGTGCTTGCAAGGGTGAGTATCTACTAGAATGAGTGACAGGCATTTCCTAAATCCTTGTGAGAAAATCAACAGAAGAGCAAGATGTGCTCAATAAGGCACTTTCTTTGCTCCTTATTTCCTGTCCTTCTTATCATCAAGCTCATTTTTATCTTCTACTTCTGTCTTAGGCAGTCAGCAGCAGAGTACATCAGAGGTAACTTCTGCCCTCTGCCCTCTCCTCCACCCAAAAGCATGCCAAAAAGGGTGCTAATGATGTGCTGTTGCCAATTGCACTTGGAAAAACTGGCTAGCAGCTCACCTTTAGGACTGTAGCAGTTGTGAACAGCAGTGCAAGAAGGTGTCACATTATTTACAGCCCATGGGATGTTTCACCATCATAAAAGTCAAAAAAACATTGTTAAAAAACCCACATTTTCCTTTTCCTGAAGAATAAATGAGGGCATCTATGCTCAGAAGCAGCATCCTGATCATCTTGTTAATTGCAGTTCTCCAGGGAAATCACTCAATTTTGTAAGAGTGACATTCCCAATAATGTGTGTGAATGTATAACCTTGCCTTTGTCATTTCTTCCAGGTCAACACACCCTTCTGCCTATAGGGTGTTTCTTGGAACACAGAATCTCAATGCAACAGAGCCATCTCTGCAAATCCAAATTGTTCAGAAAGTATTAAAGGAACCAACTGGAGCAGACATTGCTTTGCTGAAGTTGAACAGGTACCATTTCAGTCCAAGTTTTTCACCTCTAACACCTTTATTTTGAAGTCCCATGTTAGCTTAGCCTGGAGTTTGGTCTCGGGGTGATTGTGGATGCTATGAGAGAGTGTGAGCGTCCCTTATGATGTTAGCATATGTATCTGTTCAAGAGTGAACTCTGAGCATCTTTCCTACTGAATGATCCCACTGGCAGAACCCATGTGTGCCTCTTGCACAGTTTAGGGAAGGCAAGGACCAATCAGGGTGGAAGGGACTGTCATGGGGCGCTCTCACTCACTACTTTCAACAAAAATCGACTTTATTGAGCAGCAACTGAACTAGTTTTGGAAGCTGCAGAACTGATTTCCATTCATGGAAGCATGTGAGAGTTGAGTTTTGATGTCACCATCTTGGACTTTAGAGGGCTGGAGGATAGAGTTCAGAATGATGATGGCATTAGCACAACTGTAGCTTCAGCACTGGTTAGCATCTCCTACCCTCCTGGACTGTTGTGCTCATGTTTCATTCATATATTTCTGTTGGAGAGATCTTTCTTTCAAGATTTGTCACGGTCAGTTCCATTTGGTCTCTCATTGCCTTGAATTTCCTTAGGGCTCTTGGCCCATGAATGGCCTGATTAGGAACAGGGGGATTTGTTCCCTTTCATGTGACACTGAAGATCCCACTACCTGTCAAATCACATCACATCACATCATATCACATCTTATACTTTCAAATAATTCTGTGCCTGAAAAGAGATTATATTCATTTTACCCTGATCAAGCATCTGAAGTTCTTCAGATCCTTTTACTCTCTTTCACAATCAGAACTGACCCTCACATGGTAGGTTCCTGACAGTGGTATATGTCATTTAACAGTTTGTTCAGACATACCTCCACTGTACCAAAACTGCTTGCACTCGTCTGACTCCCAGGGTGATACACCTTCCAGAAGTCATCTCATCTTTTCACATCTACATGTGGCAGTTAGTAAGAGATTAGACAGTCCAAAGCAAAAACTTCTCTATGCCCCATTTTAATCTCCTGCAGAACTGCAGCTTCCCCAGGCCCTGCCTGCTCTATATTGAGCTTTATTCCAGTGCTGAAGACTCCTGGCCTAATGTTGTGATGAGGAAGAGGGGGGTTTTTTTGTATGTACTTTATTGAGGTGCTAGACTTTGTAATGTATGGGATATGTTGTGATGTCACCCATAGTTATTACTCCCACATAACCAGGGGAGAAAGAAATTTTCTGTGATTTCAGCTGTGTTTGCTCACCACCTGCTGACCAATACCCATCCTGTCTCTGGGCAGGAATTAGTGGCCCCCTCCAGTTTATGTACTAAGCATGTCATTCTATGGTATGAAGTATACCTGTGGCCAGCTCAGGTCAGCTCCTCCTGTGAATTCCCAGTGTTCATGACCTCTGAGTCAGGCACGATCTGAGAAAAGTCAGGATCTGAGCATCTGCAAGGGTAGCTGGGGCTGGACTTGGGCTTGTGCATGATGCTGTACACACCAAGGGGCAGCCAGAGATACACACTCTAGCCCTATTCTGCAAACACACTTACACTGTGACTGTGCCCAGGAACATATTCCAGAAATTTTAGGTTGCTTTAAGGAACCTCTTTTTCCATTATATGATTGGGCACCATCTTACAGCCACGTGTACAGTTTCAAGGTGTCACCAGTTTCTCCACATGGTTTCTATGCAGAGCCTTCTGAGTATGAAGATTGAATAAGCTGCTGGTAATTTTTCTAAGGATCTTTTAATTATTTTTTATTTGTTTTGCAGTTCTGTAACAATTACTGACCGTGTAAAACCAGTTTGTTTACCTGCAACCAGTCTGATGGTAGAAAGAAATGCTGTATGTTTTCTAACTGCCTGGGGAAAAAAAAGAGGTAAAACTTATTTGGAGCAATTGGAAACTTGGGAAAGTTTTCAAATACTATTTCAAAATATGTGCAATCATAGTAGCTGAAAAACACATTTTAGTTAAAATTTGAGTAAATCAGAAGTTACCAGGCAACATTATT